GTGTTCTATCAAATAGAGTAAATTATGATAATCATTTATAAATTATTTGTTTATTTAAATATTAACAATTCATTTGCAGGAAAGCAATTTTGCTATTTCAACGACTTCCCGTCAGACGGTCCTGGCTCTGCCCTGGAACACACGTACGCTCAGTGTTGGTATAAAAGTCGCATTTTGCTGATATTATTTATTGTAATGCTTGATAAGTGGATTAACGTAATAATGAAATCCCTGTGTATTGAAATGTGATAATTTAGATGAGTCATGGCCTTGCCCCCTAACACAGAAAGAAGAGAAGTGGGAGAAATTACAGCCAATACAATAGCCAGAATGTTTTGTTGTACAGCAATGGAATTATTAATAGGCAACAGTTCCGGCAGTATTAGTGAACAGTGATGTAAGAGAGAAAAATTGTGAAAATTAAAGGAAGGGGAACAATGAATTTGTGTCCAAGGAAAATCATGGGAAGATGCTGGTAGTATGGGTGTGACGGTCTCAGTTCTATATTTTCATTTGTTTATGTTAATGATACTTGATTTATAATTAGTAGATAAAAGTAGGGTGTAGATGTGAATTAATTTAGTAGAGAATATTGTTTGTTTATATTATAATATTTATTGCCAAAATTTTACATAATGATATGCCAGCTGTTTATTATTATTTGTTTACTGAATAAAATGCTAATAGTTAAAAATGTTTCTGTGTGTGTATGTATGTATGCATACATATATATCATGTATGCATACAAAATGCAAAAAATCATGTTTCTGTTTAATACCTTTGCTTCCTTAATCCACAACCTTGTGGTGAATGTGTGCATTAAAAAAACTGTTCTGCATTCTTTTCTTTGTATCTATATATCCATTTGTCTACGTCTATCTTTGCTTCTACACAATATGTTCTACGTAAATAGAATGGATATTCCTGCTTTTTACTGCGTGGTCTTGGCGTCACGTGTTCGGAGAAGTACAGTGACGTCAGCAGAATGCATGCTTTGCACAGTGACATAAAATTTCATGCTCTTTGCTGCTTGTCACCCCCCCCCCCTTCCCCAAGAAAAACACCCTTCTCTTTTTCATATATCGCTGATTGCATGTAGACACAAACAGGACACAAACAAACAGGAAAATGGAACCAAAATACAACATAAACCAAGGCGCACATGCACAGGTCGGCAGATAATGATTTGCTTCACTCGCGCCTGGAAGTGGATAGAAATAGACTTGAATCGTTTGATGTGCCTTTTGACATTGAGATAGACATTTCTTTGTGCTTATTAACGCATGACTTATATACATTTATATGTATGTGTATATATATATCTACTTATATATCTACACACACACACACACACACACACACACACACACACACACACACACACACACACACACATATATATATATATATATATATATATATATATATATATATATATATAGATAGATAGATGCACACACAAACACATATAAATATGTATACGTATATATATATATATATATATATATATATATATATATATATATATATATATTATGTATATATATATATATATATATATATATATATATATATATATTATATATATATATATATATATATATATATATTATATATATATATATATACATACACACACACACACACACACACACACACACACACACACACACACACACACACACACACACACACACACACACACACACACACATATATATATATATATATATATATATATATATATATATATATATATATATATATAGTTATACACACACACACACACACACACACACACACACACACACACATATATATATATATATATATATATATATATATATATATATATATGTGTGTGTGTGTGTGTGTGTGTGTGTGTGTGTGTGTGTGTGTGTGTGTGTGTGTGTGTGTGTGTGTGTGTGTGTGTGTATCGATGTAATTCATAAAGGCTGAAAAGCTAATATATACCAAATATTAATGTGAAAAGCAAAATACATTGTTAGTAACAAACAGCATGTAACTCCAGAAAAAAATAACTGATCCTACCTCTTCGATTTCGAATGTGGGATTGTCAGCCATCGTCGATTATTGAAGTGACAAGAATTTCACAGTGGGAAAATCTGTTCCTTCTTAAAACATGTCTTAAAAAAATAATCACTCTTTCCGAATATACGACGAAGCGAACAAAAATACAAATAAAAAGAAATAATGAAGTAATAACGTTTCACAGTCACTGATACCAAACTTTAACACATTCCTGTACGTGCTTCCTCTCTGACGTTCCAGAGTCGACTGGTAGCTTTTGGTACCTGTTGCGTATGGTCACTTCCCCCCCTCAGGCATGGAGGCGCCCTTCCTCAAAGACCCGAAGCTACAGCCATGCACTGGAGAAACGCACGACTCTAAACGCCAATCGTTAGCAAACACGAACGGTCGAAGTGCTGTCGTTACGTTCGCAAAAGACGACTGGCGTTTCCGAAATTCAGCCGCGGAAGGTGTGTGTTAGGCAGGTAGTGAAAGTGGCCTTCGCGATACCTGGTTGGGGCGGGTAGGGGGTTAGGGACAGGGGAGGGGAGGGGGAAGGGCTGGGGGACCGCCGATGGAGGTGGGGATGGAGAGGGCGTGGGGAGGTAGGGAGAAGGGGAGGGGAGGGAAGAGGAGAATGAAAAGGGGAAGGGGGATAGAAGAATGGCCGAGGAGAGAAGGGAAGGGGGGAGGGACGGACAGGAGAAAGAAGGAAGATATGGAGTTGTTCTGGGGAAAGAAAGAGGGTGGCATAGAGGGAGATATTGCGTTGGAACCCTGACGGCGGCGGCGAGGTAATTCTGATTTGCGACCATCATTTTTACGCGTGTGATAAGGCGGCCTTGGAAACAGCGTCCGATTTTTTTTGCTTCGATGGTTCGTGTGATGCCGGAATAAAACGGATTTCAGGATCGATATGCTTCGATTGATGGCTTAAGTAAATAACGTTGGGTTTCGAATTTCATAACTATCATCAATTTAAATATTATAAAGATTTATAGCCAGCATTTATATGCACATATTTGCTTTACTCACTCATATGTCTTTGTTTATAGATTTTTTTTCTGCCACATTGTGTATATATAAAGAAAATGATAATGAAAATAAAGAGACATCGGGAGATTGTACAGTTGATTGCAAAATTGCTGCATCACTTTCCAAATAACCCGATTAGACGCGCTGTGTGCTAAGCACTCGGCGTGATAACAAGAATGGCTTTCTCTGTCAGAACATAATACAGGTATGCTTTCCCTCCTCGCTCTGTCTCTGCTGGTCTGTTTGTCTTTGCCGCTGTCTGTCCGTCTATCTGCCTCTGCCTCTGTCTGTCTATTTTTCTATCTATTTGCCCGTCTCTCGTTTTCCCACTATCGTTGTCTCTGTCTATCCTCCACTTATTCTGTCTCTTTTTACAGCCCTCTCTCTCTATTTATATATATATATATATATATATATATATATATATATATATATATATATATATATATATGTATCTATATCTATCAAACTTTCCATTAATACAAATTCATCTCTCAATCTCTCCATGCACGTATGCATATGATGTATAGCATGGTATATGTAATGATGTGTCCCTCCAGCCGCTTTCTCTGCGCATAAGGACTGTCTCGCCGAAGGAAGTAAGGGAAGAAATAACCCTTATGTATTATAAAGCTAAATGTGTGTTATTTGTAATTTCCGGGGTAATGGTTTATAAGACTATACTGAAGACATCATTTGTTCATATTTTTATATAACTTTGATTATATTGAAGTCAATAGTTTTATATATATATTTTTTAATGGTTAGGGGGACGGCAGGGATTATAGCAATAATAGTTATAATAATAGTAAGAATAACGATGATAATTACGATAATAATGATAATGATAATAATAATGATGGTAATGATATTGATGATAATGATGATAATAGTAGTAATAAAGAATAATAATAATAGTAATAAAGCTGATAATGATACTACTACTATTAGTACTAATGATGATGATACTAATAATGATAACAACACTGATAATAATGATAATGATGATAATAATAATTGGTAATAATAATGATATTGATAAGATAATAACGATAATGATACTGATAATAATGATACTAATAACAACAATAATTGATAATGATAATAGTAATAATATTGCTAACAATAAACACAATACAAATGCTAATGATAATGCTAATAACAATAATGATAAAAATGAAAATAATGATAATAGGAAAAATGATAACAACACTGTTAATTACAATACCAATTATTATAAAAAAACGGCAATAATAATAATAATAATAATAATAATAATAATAATAATAATAATAATAATAATAATAATAATAATAATAATAATAATAATAATAATAATAATAATAATAACAATAATGATGATGATCATAATAATAAAAATGATACTAATAACAATGCTGCTGCTGCTGTTGATGATGATAATAATAATAATAATATAATAATAATAATAATAGTAATGATAACAATAATAATATTGATAGTAACAATGATAATAAAAATAACAACAACAAACAACAACAACAACAATAATAATAATAGTAATAATAATAATAATAATAATAATAATAATAATAATAATAATAATAATAATAATAATAATAATAATAATAATAATAATAATAATAATGATAATAGTGATAATAATTTAAAAAATAATAATGATAATAATCATAATAATAATCATAATAACAATAATAGTAATTATAATAATAAGCATAATAATAATAATAATAATAATAATAATAATAATAATAATAATAATAATAATAATAATAATAATAATAATAATAATAATAATAATAATAATAATGATAATAATGGTAGTAATAATAGTAATAATAATAATAATAATAATAATAATAATAATAATAATAATAATAATGATGATAAAACTAATATTGTTATTATTTTTATTATCATAATTATTATTATCATTATCATAGTAAGAGTTGAAAAATATGATAACAGAGATAATTAGATTATTTCCTAACAAAATGATCATATCATCATGAAAAGAGGAAACATATAAGAAATCTGAGCTAAAAAAAAAAAAAAAAAAATAAATCCCCGAATATGAAAAAGAATACCCTTAAACCTTTGGTTTTCTCAAAAAGACAATCATAGAAAATAAAATTTTTGTTAGGGATAACTATGTTATCTTTTTCTCCATCGCCTCTTCTATCTCCATCTCCATCAATCTTCTACCTCTATCTCCACCCATCCTTATATATATCTGCATATATATATGTAAATATACATGTAAATATATATTTATATATGTATAAATATAAATCTATATATGCATATATATACATATATATATACAAACACACACACACACACACACACACATACCTATGTATATATATATAGCCAACCGCGCGGGCATTAGTTTCCACTCAAGTAGATTTGCTAAGGAACAGTCAACCGGTCAGTATGTAAGTACAGTACATCACAAAATCAGGTAGGTTTGAAAATGATTCCCAAAAAGCGTAAAGTATCATTTGCCATTCGATAGAAGAAACGCCAGATAAACCAAGTATTAATGAAGCGTAATTCAAGCATTGGCACCACAGTTGAGCGCCAGACGCCGACCACATGACCTTTGGTCAGCCGAGGCCGCACCCCGTTAGGCTTAAAAACAGCTAAGGAATGCGACGCCCACACCACCCGCATCCCTCCCTCAAGTCCTCTGCTGCAACACTACAATTTAAGGACATTATAATGCATGGGCTCATTATAATGGAGTGCATGTGTGCGCCCATGCAGACACTATTCGTGCGCGAGTCTGAGCGCTTAGGCACGAAAGTACGCAGGTGCATATGTGCGCATGTACATGCGTATATATGTGTACAGGTTCATATGAGTGTTGGCGAGTTTAAATTCATGTGTGGATGCATGGGTACGTATGCTGCTGTTTGTCTATGTATGGCTATAAGCTTCCATATAGCTTTGTGATAGAGTACAATATGTATGGGTATACCCCGTGCTTGTACAGGAGGGTATACATGGGTTTAAAGGCGTATATATGCAAATTTGTACATATGGTGTATATATTCATGTATGAATGTGTATGTGCATATAGTTATATATAATGTGCGAGTATATGTGTATATATAGGTAGACATATGTAGGTATGGGTATTTGTATATGTATAGGTATACGTATATATGTGTGTATGCAGGACGTAGTAAGGTGGATAAATAAATAAGTATATGTATGTATGTATGTACGTATGTATGTGAGTAGAGGTAGTTATATGTAAAGCAAGTACAGGTGTATACACGTATATACGGGGGGGGGGGGTACTAGTGTATGCTGTAAATGCATGTGCTCATACACGGACGCGTGAGCACGTGCAGGGATAGATATATGCGTATGTACAGTGATATGGAGGTTTGCGAGGTATGTATAAACATGAGTGAGTACACACTCATGTATACTCACTCACTTATCAGTAACATGTAACAAGCACATAAAGGGACAGGCGATGTGAACATATGACTAGGGCAGACTATGATGGACATGTGTGTAGTCATTTATAACATAGGATTGCGTATCCATATCCCTAAGCATAGATACAAGAATAAAGGTATGTGCTTGCAGATGCATATGCGTGGGAACGAGCATATGCGTAGTACTTAGAGCATGTGCGGGAATAAATATGTCTGCATCAGGTGCACATACGCACTAGTAAAGTTAACAAATAAAATAAAATCACACATATATGCACTTCTGATACTTAAGCCCAGCTCACGGGAGTACACCCTGGTGTAGTGAGCGAGCCAAAAGAGCCCTGGTTACGGCGGCGATCAGGATCGCTCCGGAGCAGAGGGTGCTAAAAATATCCGGGTAAAGACAGGCCGCCTCACGTTGATGAACCTTTGCACATACAATATAAGGACCATGAGAACAGAATCCGACTTACTAGCTTCACTGGAGGAACTCTCTTCCATTAAATGGGATGTAGAACTCTGCGAAGTTAGAAGACTAGGCAAAGAGCAGAAGTTAATAAATAATGGACACGAGCTCTATTGGAGAGGAAAACCTCAGGGTAGCAAACAGGAATTAGGGGTAGGGTTCTTAATACACAAACACTTAGAAAAGAACATCGTAGAATTCTATAGTGTCAGCGAAAGAGTGGCTTCTATAACAATAAAACTAAACAATAGGTACCACTTAAAAATTCTTCAAGTCCATGCTCCACCCTGCAGCCACAGTGATGAAGAAATAGAGAGCTTCTATGAAGATGTTCATTTAGCCAGCGAGAGAATAAAAATCCATTTCACAATAATTATGGGAGATTTTAATGCCAAAATAGGTAAAAAGACAGAGGGAGAAACCGCAGTAGGGAACCATGGAATAGGCACTAGGAACGAGAGGGGGCAAATGTTAGTCGACTTTGCAGAGGCTCCATCACTCAATATCATGAAT